CCGGTGCCGCCGGGCGCTGCAGCACCCGGAAGGGAGAAACGCCGCAGTCAGCCGATGGAAACTTTCAAACGGCAGAACAAAAATAAAAAATCGCTTTGCAGCTTTGATGAGAAGGTGTTGAATGCGCCACCGCCACAAGGGAGGATTACACAGGCTGTTTGAGGATCTGGCTCTCCACTAAGAAGGTGTTTTTAACAGTAAACAAACAGAAACACGTTGCTCTTTGCAAGGTCAGAAGCTGTCTAATCAGACACTTGAGCATCTTTCCTTGGCATCTATCGCTAATCTGCTAATCAGTCAAGAAAAGCAGTCTCCTCCTTAAATGTAAGATAAATCAGCTTAACTGCCTCATCACCAGGCTTCACCTGTGCTGGCACAGCAGAGGCCTGGGCATTTCCCCCACCGTCTCGTTAGCTCCAGGGACAGCAGGGGGGCAGAGCAGGACAAGACCACCCGGAGAAGCGGAGGAGGAGGTGGCACGGAAACCTGGCACTGTCTCAGTTCACGCCGGGCGCTCAGCCGGTGAGAAAGCTCACGCTGATGGAAGGCAAGTGCCCGCATGCTGTGCAGGCAGGTGAAGTCTTGTCTGTGAAGGCATCGGGCCACACGGCTAACGCACCATCTCTACCCTGCTCCTCTGATTTTGGTAAAATCCCTTCTTCACGTGCTCGTGCTATTTCCCATTGACTCGACAAAGCAGACCATTGGGTCCAGCTGGAGCTTGCCAACGCAGGCAGCAACCCAGGAAGAACAGTCAGGATAGGCAGCGCTGTTGGGACAGGGTGTGAGCAGGGGTTGTTCTGAGGAGAGCTCAGCCCGCCACAGGGAACGGCGCTTTCTTCCTGCCTGGCGTTACTTACCAGAGCTGCTCCAGAAGGGAAACTACTGCGCAAGAAAAGATGCTCTGTCCTTTGCCTCACTTGGCAGAGTCTGGGCTGTCTTTTTGAGACTGCAGTTCTAGTTGGTTTAGAAGAACAACAAAAAACAAACAGCTTCCCAGAAAAACCCAACCTTGACTTTTCTCAGATATTAAAGGTGAATGGCGAAGGCAGGAAGACCTTCCCCCCTCACATCAGGGTCCATTTACAGTCGTGAGAAGAAACGCAGAGCAGCAAGTCCCCTCTTCCTCAAAGGGAGCTGAAAGAGCAGTTCCAGCTGGCAGCCACAGACCCACCAACGACGCTTACAGGGTGACCTCCAGTGGGATGAGGAAGAAACAACAAATTTAACATTGCATGAACAGGAAACTTTATTTTAAAGCCAATCTCTGTGCATTATAAAGAAGCAGAAATTAGAAAGAACAGGGTCCTTTGGAGCTTACTGTTACCACCACCCCAGGGCACTCGCGCAGCTACAGGATTTCAGGCTGGTTACGACACAAGTCGACTCCCGCTGCTTTGATAGAGAGAAGTGTAACCATCAGCTCCACCAAGGCGAAAGGACAGAAAGGGCGCTACGTGCACACAATCACAGAGTTGTATCTGCGCAGTCCTACATTCAAACCACCTGATGGGCTCAGCAGATGGACTCGGAGGCACAGAAGCGGCAGAGCCAGCTCCATGCCCCACTGTCTGCCCACCTGAGCTCTGGTGATGCAAGCGGCAGCCGGGGGAATCCACATCAGGTCTCATCTCCGCTCCGTACCGCAGCAAGAGTCACCTCCACCTGCCACACAAGCAGGCGCCTGGCATGCAGGCCTGCTGCCTGGGCTGCCACACCGCCCCAAGCAGCTGAAACTCCACGCAGTGAGCAGCCTTTTGCGGGGGCTCACTGACAAGATGCCAGCGGTCCTCGCTCAAGCAGAGACAACTCCTGTCTTCCCTGAACCGCACGCTAAGGAGTACAGCCCAGCAGCCTTTGACAAGGGAACTTGTCAAAACACAGTTTCAGACAGCTACAGTGACACCCATTTTTAAACAGTTAACTTCTCCTGCCCTCCCCTAACAACTCTGCAAGCCCCTGTGTTCAGCAGCTTCCCAGCTACAGCAGCTGGCTTGTTTCCGTAACTCCCCCAAACTACACCCAAACGCAGCGTCAGTGTCTCAGGACTTGGCACAGGACTCCCCAGGCGCTCCTCCAGCGGACCGAGGGTGCTTTTCCATGCTGGCAGCTCCCCTGCCTCCACCCTGCTTCCTCTTCATTTGGCCCTGGGACTCTGCCTTAAGAGTCCCAATCCAGAAGGCTTCAAAAGAGCCTGGAGCCTGGTAACCTGGCTCCTGAGGATCAAGGGCATCTTTGCTGAGTAGGACACATATGGCAGGAATGTTTCTCTTTACTGTCAAGGCATCGAGGCCTGCCTCAGGCACAATGGGTTCCCAGATCTCTTCAATCTGTTTGAAGAGCACTTTGGTGATCTGGTGCAGCTCTTTGAGCCTTCGTTTCATGATTTCCACACAGGTAATGGTCTTGCTGACAGCCTTGCCTGAGCCAGTGAAAAGGATCTGCCTCACTGAGTCCAGCTCCATCTTGCTGATGGCATACCCCATCAGATTTCTGATTTTGCTTCCATCCTTCACCTTCATTTCAATAATATCAGCCGGCAGGTCAGTAAAAGGAAGAGGACAAGGTTTCTCCACAATTTTGGTCTTCTTATAGTTCTCCATTCTGCAGTGCTGCAAAGGAAAACAGATCCATTAATACAAACTCCCACTACAACTGCTGCACAAAGAAACTCTCGCCACAGTTAGCTACAACCTTTCCTCTAAAGGGCACTCTGAGCTATCAGAATTGGGGATCCTGAAAAGGCATATTGAAAAGATCAGCAAGAATGCCCGATTCATGCCTTCCTCAGGACTTACCTACAGCACGAACACTGCTAGAGGGCAGCCAGGGCCCAGCAGACAGGCAATGAAAGAAACAGGGTTGGCGTTATGGGCCTAAGCAGGATGAAGTAAAAAATACAGGCTGTATCTCAGGGAAAAACAGAGAACAAATGGGTGAGCTGAGGTTATTTGGAACAGAAGCCAGGAGGATACTGACCACAGCTGCACCCCATGGGCTACACCAGAACATGTGCACAATGAACCAAGGCACAGCTCAACTGCAGCAGCTTGCTTCTGTTACAGAAACAGAGTCATGGGGCTCTGAGTGCCACAACTGGCCAGCCTAGCTGAAAGGCCAGGGACTGGATACTTGATAAAACAGCGCAGGTCACAGGACAGATGGCAAGCCAGGGGTTGCAGGCAGAAGACATGTTGCCAGCCAGAAGCAGGAAAACAGAAAGGCACATGGTGACCAAAAAAACAGGGTTCTCCAAGGGAAAGACAGAAAGGTCCAGTCTCACAGCTCCCCTCTCTGCCAAGGCAGGGTCCCTCTAACAACATCCTGACTGAAGCCTGCCTAATTTGTGTAGGGCACGCCCTCCCCACCACAGTAAGCCCAAGATGCCCAACCATGCACCACTAAGGCTTTGTTATCTGTAGGCTCATAAGCCCCGTTTCACCCAGAGCCAGCACCTTATAACCCATCCCCTGTGGGGACCGGGCAGGTCAATGCCCTCTCTCTGTACCTAGGAAGCACACGCCCTGCACGATGCCCTCACCCCCAGCACGGCAGCAGACTGCCACCAGTGCCTTGGGGGCCCAGCACGCACCCCACTCTGCTAGGGAAGAGCAGCACCAGGCTCTGTGATAGGGGCCGAGTACACCGCTGCTATAGGGGATGGGGATGCCGGCTGCCAGAGGATGGCAGGGTAGGTGTAGCTCCCTGCTGTACCGGTTACGAAGGCCAAGCCATTGCTGGGGGGCTGCGACCAGGCCTGGTGCGGGGGTTCGGCGAAGCCACTGCTATTGGGATGGGGGTGGCGCAGACAAGGCTGGTGTCACAAGGCCCTGGGAAAGGCCAGACCACTGCGACAGGGAACACACGGCAGGGAGAGGCCAAGCGC